TTTCCTATTTGAGTTACCTCCCCAATACCTTAAAACACGAAGGATATTCTTAATAGTCAATGTTTTCCTTATACTATCCTCGTAATTACCATATCACCAAACACTCTTCAACACTGGACGTTGTTTATCAATGTCTTATTGGTATATTTACATATTATATGTTCAGGGACTAAATGATACATCTGAGAAAACAGTGGAACAATCCAAAAACAAAGATGCGGATACAAGTAGTAAATCTACTGTGTCCAATACAGAACAGTCAAAACATCAAACAGGTAAGCTTACTTGTAGTGATCTGAGTATGTAATATAGAATGGTAGTACATAGCTTTGGCTGAGGGACAGGACAAACACGTTGCGGGAGTATAATTCGATGCTTTCAAATACTGAACACTCCAATATAACAAATTTGTTAATGCATTTTCAAGTTATGCAAATTAAACAGATGTCCTGAGGTTATTGCTTATTAATAACTAAGAAACTACATCGAACAGTTAGTTAAAATCTGAATGGGAGAAAATGTCATGTTCGCCTAAATCGTAAATTTTGATTGGCATTGTTAACTTGGATATTTTCTATGAACTCTTTCGAAGTCATGTTGGATTATTATCTGTGTTCATTAGCTATTAACATATGGTTTGTGTTACTAACACCCTGTTGTATGCTATGAAATGTTTTACCTTACTACTGAATAAACAGTTCATGCAATAACGGAGTGTGAATATATATAGTGTTTTAACTCGTAATCGAAAAAAAAACAAAACATCGAATTGTCTATCATGAATAATAGTAGTGTTTAGGGTCACACGTAACATATTTTTCGATTTTCCAATTCAAATATTATTGATTTTAACAATTTAACTGGGCTGTTAAGAGTTAGAATACGATAATGACAGACAAAAAGTAGGAGTATACCCTGACACAGTTCTGAGATTAATTTAAAAAGACGTTAAGCAAAAACAGGTCAAATTCTGACCCTGCTGAAATAGTGTCTGGGTATACAAATAATTGCAACCGATGGTATCATGTTTCAAGTTAATATGTTATGAGAGACTTCTTAATGCGTTTTCATAATAAAATAAATATTATAAGCATAATTAGTACATGATAATATATTTATCATAATATAAAACAAATGGAAAAAAAAAGATGAAAAACGACACCAAATGGGCTATGATAATAGATTGAACCAAATCAACATAGCATTGACGAACGCTTATGACCGATATTTTTATTCATTAAACGTATGGATATATTGGGATGGGTAATAGTTATCGCAAACGTTTCATAAATCTGTAAAAAGTAAAATCACAAAAATACTGAACTTCGAGCAAAATTCAAAAAGGAAAGTCCCTAATCAAATGGTAAAATCAAAAGCTCAAACACATCAAACGAATGGATAACAACTGTCATATTCCTGACTTGGTACAGGCATTTTCTTATGTAGAAAATGGTGGATTGAACCTGGTTAAAATACATCCTCCAGATAATTACTTATTTGTCTAAGCTTTTAAAAAATGTTTGCACTTAGAATAAATTAGTAGGATTATCAACTATTATACTTCACGAAGGAACGACTAAACACTAGAATATTATTTTCTCCAAGATATGTTGATGCACGTTAAACGTTGTGGTAAGATAATTCAACATACTTAATCTATCCATAGACGTAGATAGCATTTACCATTTTAACTCAGTATTACCCGTTTCGACATGATTAAACAATCAAGTGACATTGAAAGTGACGTTTTGCTGAGATTTAATGTTCATAGTGAAACAACCTAGTAGAACAAACAATAAAAAAATTAACTTTTTCCACATTTTTTTTAGAATGATGGAACATTTGCCGCAATTAAATCTTTTTTCATAGTATATGAATAAACACCTCGTTAACTAGTTTTGGTCCAAAACATGTCAGGTTGTTGCCTTTGTTAGATAAACAGGAGAAGAAGGAGAATAATTTGAATAAGGCTCGATAGGGTTTTGTTTTAAAGTGACATACATATATATATATATATATATTCCACCACTGCAGCAAGTGTTACGATATTTCTACACTCGAGACAGTAATATTTTAATATTTAAAGCGCGAGGCTTGCCGAGCTTTTTGAATATTTAGAATTTAACTATTAAGAGTGGAGAAATATCGTAATACACGAGTTATAGTGGTGGAATCTGTTTCTGTAATGATTTTTATCCTTTCGATTTGAAAGATTTGCAGAAAGTTGTGTTCTTTATATGTGACGTCATCAGGCATGGTTGTTTTTTTTTCATGACGTCACAATAGGAGATTCAGAAGAAACCAAGAAAATTTGACTTCATCAATATATTTCGACCAATCATTTGTCGAGAACAGTTATTTCACTAGTGAGCAGAACATTTTTTTCGAAATCGGTTAGGAAATGTGAAAAAAGTGAAAAAAATAGAGAAAAGGTCATACATAACCATTTTCCTCTGTTATCATTACAAGCATAATGTTTCCCTTTCGAATAATTCATGTCCTTTGACCTCCATTTGTTTCATTTTAGATGACAAAACTCTGAAATTCAGAGTTTTTTCTCAAGGTAATGTCGTTTTATCTTGTACACCGACATAGTTACACACATAAGTTTGCTCTCATATTGTGTATGCAAACATACATTTTACTTTTCAGAATCTGTTGCCGAATTTCCATGGATAGGTAACCCAAGTGAGTTCAAGGTCATATTATCAAAAGGAATGTACGAGTCTTTTGACAACAGAGTATTTTTGGCAGGTGCCTGCAACTGTGGAAAATGCACTTTAGCAAGCGTTCTCATCGGTGATGACATACCCGTAACATGGAAATCTACAGACGGTTTAGTTGTTTTTTTTTGGCGAAACGGTATTCATTTAAAGACAGAGGAAATGGTTCCTTTAAAAGATGGTAAACCACATATATATAAATACAATTATGAATAAGTCTAAATTGAAAACAACGTTCAAACCTATGATTGCGTTGGATAAAAACCGCAATTTTTATACGTGTGCATGCAAAACAAATTTCTTGTTAGAGGGGTCTATATACAGCACAAACAACATTTTCCAAAAGACCAAAAAAGTGAAAAAAGTATATTTAAACAAAACGCATTTGACTAACAGGTCGAACAACAAATGTTCTTAACCCTGCTAACTGCAATTGGCGATTGCCAAATAAACGGATCACCGATGTAATAAATGGATCTTAATTATAAATTTCATACTAAACAGAAAACAATAAACTTGCGGAAAAGATGGTATACCGCAAACATGAGGTGCAAAGGTTTTTGTACACCATATCCGGATTTCGACAATTAATGTCTCCTCAGTGATGTTAGGAATCGAAACGGTATTTGGAAAGCCATACAATTTACCTCAATTTAGGATAGACTTGAATTTTGAGGAGTCAAAATAGGATGAACGGATCATATAAACCCGAAGGCAAATATAATACAAGCCCAAACGAAAAAATATAAACAAGTCTAAATTGAAAACAACATTCAAACCTATGATTGCGTTGGATAAAAACCGCAATTTTTATACGTGTGCATGCAAAATACAATTATGTATATACATATTACTTATATATGAAATTCAGACTTCTTATAGCTAATGTGTATGTTCAAAACATATAAAATAGTTAAGCGTATCCTTGACCGGTTGTTAAACCGTATAGAACAGCATATGTTATATGGTATTGCTTGTTTCAAAACCAGAGTAAAATGGGTACTTAAAGGTGACACAGTAAGACAAAACTTAAAAAAGAAAATCAAGTATGTCGATTAATCACAAATCAAAACAATTTAAAAATAAATAAGCAATCAAGAGCCATTTAAAAAAAAAATTTAGCTGGGAAAATATATACTACAGTGTCTGCTTTTTTATATGCTTGTTTAATACTATTAATTAAAAGATATCATACAATCAAAGACATAAATTGTCCTATTGTGTGTTATGTGTTATTTCTTATTTAATGTGTTATTCACATATTTGCAATATTTACTTGGAACAAGGATTATCAAATGTTTTTTATGACCATTAGTTTAAAATAAAGATGCAAACACGATTTTTGTTTACCAGCAGACAATTTATAAAATTTACGTAAATATCTTAAATACATGTAAATAAAAACTTTTGTAGTTTAACAATAATTTTACCAGTTTTTCCGTAAACATATATTAGTTATAGTGGCATAATGGTATACGCCAGAGTTATTCCTGACATGATCTGTTCTTAACATAATGTTTTGCAAACAAAGTTGTGATAAGAAACATTGTCTATTGAATGTTGAAAGTATGACAAAAATTGATTATTGTTCTTGTTGCATTTACGAAAACTTCAGGAGTTGAAATTAGCTAAACAAGGTTATAATAGAAACATAACCTATGTTAGAACAAAAATGTTACCAATGTTTGTATTAAATAAGTATTTCGACATTCAATGTCTCTTAAGATTGAGGCAGACAAGGAATTTAGTCGTCTTCGTTAGTATTGTTGTGCAGATGGAAGAGGGTTCAAAGATATCTTATTCAAACGGTAATGTTTGATATTAGTCAGTACTTTAAATAGACCAACAGTTTCTGATAACAAACAGAACAAATATCAGCATGCACGAATATCAGAAAATAAACAATAATACAACTAAAAGTAGCGATGGTTCCGGGCATTATTGCCTATACCGCAGGTCGCTTATGATTCGGAATTTGGAATAGATTGGTCGTTTATGTTACAATGACTTTACTTCTGTATTGCTATATTTTCTAAAGTCCTATACAGTATATCCACGTAAATATTATGATTTTATGTTTGTATTGCAGGTGCCGGTTGTCACGCTGTTTTCTCTAGAATTTTACGTGGACAACCAAATGTTCTACAGAAAAACAGGCAGTCGTCAGATAAAAACAAATCTAAATCTGGCGTACGAAACTTCGTTAGAAAATTCAAAAATGCAATGCGAAATATCAGAACGGAAATGGCCAATAGGGTCGAAGTCAAAACTGTGCAAGTTCCTGAAAAGGAAGTCAAAAGTTCGTTCACTTCAGCTCCAACATTAGAGAAAACACAAATTGTGCATAGAGAAGAAAAATGTAGGCAAGATGAACCTGATGCCATAACAGATGTTTCAAAATTAGACCATTATACGGTTCGAGAAGATATTTTAGAAGAAGTAAGAAAAGGTCGATACATTATCGAAATTGCCCCGTCTGATCTAATAGACTTTGGTGGACAGCGGTCATATGATATGACGCATCAATTATTCATTCAACATCGAGGTTCGTTCATCATTATGTTCAATGGGAGATATGAACTGAAAACACCTCTAACGGAATATCCCCAAGGTGATGTCACCTCGGAATGTAAGTACAGTCTAAGTAAAACGTAAAACAGTTATAATTACAGAAAAAAGACAATTGTACATTCATATCCCTTACATGTGTGTTAACCGTATGATATAAATGGCTGCAAATGAACAATTGGTTTTTTTAAGCTAATTACATGGTATGTTTTTTTCTAATTGTTGAAGGCCGCACGGTGTCCTCTAATTGTTTACATCTGTGTGATATGATCATTATGACAGTTGTCGCATACAATCATCTTACATTTCCTTGTTAATATTTATACCGAAATCGGTGAAATATGTATGAAATACCGTTTACTATGTGTGGATAAGAAGTATATGTCATTACGTAAAAATATAGCTTGTCTTACATCTAATATGAGTAAAAATGTTAGCTAGATCTTAATGTGTATATGAATAAAACGCAGAATCTACATATCCATGCAGTCGTAAGCTATATGTTTTCTAGTAGAAAATAATTGTTTGCAAATGTCTATTTCAGCATTAATCATGCATTGGATCAATTCAATTCTAACATACTGTCCAGAAGGGGATGATATAATGCCGATGGTTCTCTTTGCAGCAACACACAGTGATTGCTTCACTCCAGTATGTCGGTTTATTGTTTTGGTTTTGTTTTCTTTTATATATTGCCTATTTTCCTATTTATCTTTTTTTTAGACTATGTATTATTTTAGAAAAAAAACAAAATAAATAGGCGATTGACAATTAACTGCTTAATATTATTAGCAGGTGAATGCAGATATATAGACCGAATACGTTTAAATCAACTGAAGATACTAAAAAAACACTACAGGACAAACTTTATTTGACACACTACTTGCAAAAAATAGTACAATCACTATCTCTAAACTATAATTTTATTTAAAGTTATACATTATGCGAGTGATGTAATCGTGGGAATTTAGCCATATTTTTATGTTGAAATCCGAAAAGGAATTTTTTCAAATGATACATTGTAAACTCCCCATTTTCCTTTTGTTCTAGAACAAGTCCAGCAGTTTCTGCGTATTGCGTGTACATCTTCAAGTTGATATAATATTCTAATGATTACATTCCCTATTATGATTTTCCTAATGAAAGTTAAGATTGCTGTTGAACCAAATGATAGCAATGGGACATTTAGTTACGTCTAATTGACATTTTTAAGGAATATCTCATGATCTATTTTGGGACATCTGTGTCAGAAATGATGACGTAGAGTTACCACTAATTATGATATTGTTTGACAGTTACATGTATTATAGTATCATCAGCCCCAACTCCAGTACTTACAAATTGGCATCAAATACGGATTTTGTGTTATTAAAATTTGCTTTTACAAAATGTTGAAAATTATTAGAGATTAAGAAATATATCTCCCTCGTGCAAATTCCTGTTTCCACGCCCGATTTTGGATGTACTTCTTTGTACTTTTTGGTTTATAAGCTCTTCATTTTGTTTCACAAGTTTTTGATTTTCAATCACCTTGGCATCGAGCATCACTGAGGAGACATTTATTGTCGAAATGTGCGTCTGGTGCAGAACAATTGGTACCTTTTATGTAATTACCTTAACAACATTGAAATCACAACCTATATTGGGTAAGATTTGTACAAAAAGTTTATATTCTATGATTTGATCGCCTCTTTCTTTGTAAAGATCGGTTAAAATAGACTTAAATAATCGATAGGTATTTTTTTTTTTAATATTAAGGATTATACAGTTTACCCTATCATATATTCTTCTTCAGTATATTTGGTTGATATTTTTGTTCTTGCTAAAAAATTGTGTAAGCTTATGATTAATGTTTTGCAATATCAGGAATGGGATGTTGATTATTAGTGACGTTTCATTTTTCTTTTCCTGTTTATGAAGGAAGAAGCTCAAAACAGGAAAATGTATTTTACGAAAGAAATTACTGACCTGTTCCGAGAGCACGAACAAAGAAAACATATGTTCCTGGATACAGTATACTTCATCAATGGTACCAATAAGCATGACCCAGAGATCAAGGCTTTGACTCAGCAACTGGTCAGATTTGCAATGCAACAGTCGACATGGGGACAAAAAAGACCAATGGCATGGGTGCCATTAGAATTACATATAGATAATATGAGATCCCAGAATATCAATGTCATTACGAGAAATCAACTCGAGTACATTAATAGGCTAAATGAAGATCTGGCTCTAACAGGAGGGCAACTAGAAGATTTCCTTCGGAACCAAGATGCAACTGGTAAAGTAATGTACTACAAACAACCTGGCCTGGAAGGGTTCGTCATCATACATACACCAGCACTGGTCAACATTATGAGGTCATTCATCACGGATGAGATGTTCTGGCCAGACAATGCGGAGCTCAAAGAAATTCTCCAGAAACTAGTTCTTACCGGAAATATATACAAAAGTGATCTATGGAAACTTTGCGGGGACAAGACAACTTCAATCAATATTTGCCGACCGATGAACTTGCAGCTTTTGTGGCAAAGCTACTTATACACCTAGATATCGTTATCCAGTCGAAAGACAACACTTCAGCTTCTGGAGATGAGATACTCCTCGTTCCATGCATGGTGAAAAAAAGTCCTCCACCTGACTTCTTCTTACGTGGAACCAGCGATTCTAGCACAATCGTATTAGCATACGATCTAGCAATAACATCCATTCCATCTGCACTTGCCTTTAAGGTTATCGGTGCTGCATCAAATAACTTGCTTTTGAAAAAGGAAGATGGAAAGCAATGTCTTTTTCACAAAGCTGCGATTTTTATGGTGGATGACGACAATGAAATCAGAATGTATTTACAAGACAATCGCGTCATGGTGAACCTAGTAAACCGAACATCGTTACACTTCCTTTCACCTGACATAGCTGCAAGCGTACAAGAATGTCTAACTAAGACACTTAAGTCGTCTATAGCCTTCTACTATACAAGTAATGGAAAGCAGATTAATCCCAGGGAAGTTTCGAACAAGATCAAGATTGACGTAGGAGTAGTATGCAACAACTCAGTAGGTCCGGGTACACAGTTATCGTCCTTTGATTTTCGTTGTCCACGAATATAGTCCCTAGTGTGGACAGTGTGTTACTTGTCGATTTTTTTTATACCCCTTCCAGATTTATTTCTCCATGTTTTATGACTCAGATAGTAAGTAGGGGGGTGAAATGACACTGTAAAAAAATTTGGGTCATGAATTTTAAAGTAAAGTAGTGATTTGGTCCAGCTGAAAAATGTAAAAAATTAGCACTTCGGAAGCTGTCAAAAGATTTGAAGACCCCCTTAACATGAAATTGTCCATATTTTGAGTTAGAGCCGATGAAGTTTTCTATAATTTTGATATAATTGGTCCCAAAAGTAGTACAACACACTGTAAAAATATTATTGAGAAAGCGCAGGTGGGATTTTTTTAATTTTCATTTATTCTCTAAACAAGAAATGCACTACGAAATAACTGTGTACTCGGACCAGTATGTCTTCTAAACGTTAACGACTCTTCACACGGTTTCGAATGGACATGCACAGCTGGCAATAGAAATCATAAGAAGAAATATCCAATGTACTGGTTCTTTGATCAGGTAAGTTATATACTCAAATCAGTTCCGACGCTTAGTAAATTACTAAATAAATAATATGTCTTACCAAGATGTAATACTAAAAGGGGAGAGAATACTCTGCTTAACATTATATTAACATCCCAAGGATAGCAAGCAGAAGAAAATGATTGAAATATAATGAAATCGATATGCTTATCGCCCATTCGATATGGTCTTTTAATGTACCAGATTGTTACAGCGAACAGTTCGAGTAATTAGTAGAATTTCGAATGCCACAGGACTGTAATCGGCGACTGGGTAATTGAAATACAGGTGCACCTATTGTAACAATCAGTTTACAGGTGTCTATACGGTGCGAAAATATTTAACGCAAAATTCGAAAGTTTAGTGTCTTAATACGTTGGGAAACGACCAAGAAATGACAATGTAATAAGGTTTTAAGAAATTTGAAAATGCAATTTATATTCAATCCTGCTTGCTCGTTCCATCTGTCTGGACATGTCAATAAGAATTTCAAATATAATTACGTGTTTTTGAAAGTCCTCCCTGTGGCTACGTCATACCAAAATCTCGTTATAATCAAAGTAACATTTTCATTTTGTTAAAAATGCATGCATTTATTGGCTATTCAACTGCACAGTCAAGTGCCAGAAAATGTACATATACATTCTGTAGGTGTATATTATTATTATGATTACAAAACATGTAGATTGTTACCTCACTGATGTCTTCTTAATCAGAAGAACTTCAATTACGGTTGAACTATTCATTCAAAAAAGATAAAGACGTAAATTTGTAAATCAATAGCTTGGTAACTCTTTACATGCTTTATTTACGGGCATTTTTTCTGCACATTTTTACTAATATTTCATACGGTACACTTCAAGTCCATTGTCATCCGTTACGAAGCAAATATTGTCGGTCGAGTCGTTCGTCATGCAAATGCAGAATATATATTGATCAAATTATTGCTCAAGCTTCAACGCATCGTCACCGATAATGAATTTACCATCGACCATGATCAGATGATGACGGAAATACACCTACAGAATACATGTGTGTCTTTTTGTTATAGTCAGTGTTCCTTGATAAAACCTCCACTTCGTTACAGTAAGTCTACTGCATGAAGTGAGCCAGGACAACAGGCTTATATTGTAACATATTGGTCGGTTTATAACACTTCGGGTGTTTTTGTTCTTATTTGAATATGTAAATAGGATCCAATCTGTTTGCGACTCTGCACAATCGACATCCACTTATCGAAAAATGGTCACAATTTATGTGTGAGTAATGTATAGTGTGTACTCTCCTTGTAGTATAATCTCCTGGTCTCATGTATCATTAACGGATCTAAAAAAAAAAGTATTACTTCGCCTGTGGAGCTTCATTAATGACCGAATCGTTGATATACAACTAATAAGCCTTTTAAATTGTTAATTATCAAGTGATCAGGACAATTCGAGAAGGCATTGTTGCATACAATGTTAAGTACTTGTTAAGATGTCCATAACATTTATTCTTAAATACAAAAAAAGGATGGTATGTTCCATTAATATACGACATTAATAGCCAGATGCGATCGACAAAATCATTGTAGAAGACATGCATGTTACTGGTATGAGCTTTCCGTCTTCATATAGCAACATTAAAACAGTTCATGCAATGAGGAGAATGTATGTTGAAAGATTAAGGGATCGCGTTTTTACTAAGGATTCCCAATGATACATTTTTCTTTGTCGAAACAATAATTAATTCCTCCTTCTCTGTTTTTGACGATTGTTGTGATTTTTTAATATTTAAAACATCAATAAAATAACAACCAAACGTCCCCATAAACAAAATAAACTTCTAGTTCAACTTGCAATCTAACCAAATAAACAGCTGCATAATTGTATATCAAACTCAAAATTCAGAAAACAGTCTTAGAAAGCGTCGATAAATTGCATGTACACATAGGTTATAGAAAATGTACCGTTTAACCTATATGTTGAAAATAGTCTTTAAAAGCAGCAATAAGCTGCTTGCATACAGATGCTAATGTTGAAAACTGAAAAAAGTTTGAAATAAGACATTTGATAAAGAGATTTTTAACTTAACTGTTTTCTAAGATCTCAACTCATCCTGACAATATTCATAGCATACTTGTTTAAAAATTCCTTGATGAATTTAGAAATTATTGAGAATACAATGTTTTATCTTCCTTAAGTTAGAAAAAAAAAAACACTTTGAAACTTACATGTTGGTATAAAAATTATTTTGTGCAATTCAGAATCCCTTTTTATTAAAAGAAAATCAGATTGGGTGAACGTCATTCTGTCTGTTAAGGTTAATGTAGTTAAATAGTTTGTTGGGTGCTTTTGTTGATTACGTTATTATGTTGAAGATTATGTTGATAACATGTTTTTCGGGTGATTTTGTTGATTACGTTATTATGTTGAGGATTATGTTGTTAACATGTTTTTCGGGTGGTTTTGTTGATAACGTTATTATGTTGAGGATTATGTTGTTAACATGTTTTTCGGGTGATTTTGTTGATTACGTTATTATGTTGAGGATTATGTTGTCAACATGTTTTTCGGGTGATTTTGTTGATTACGTTATTATGTTGAGGATTATGTTGTTAACATGTTTCTCGGGTAATTTTGTTGATTACGTTATTATGTTGAGGTGTATGTTGTTAACATGTTTTTCGGGTGGTTTTGTTGATTACGTTATTATGTTGAGGATTATGTAGTTATCATGTTTTTCGGGTGGTTTTGTTGATTACGTTATTATGTTGAGGATTATGTTGTTAACATGTTTCTCGGGTGATTTTGTTGATTACGTTATTATGTTGAGGATTATGTTGTTAACATGTTTTTCGGGTGATTTTGTTGATAACGTTGTTATGTTGAGGATTATGTTGTAATCATGTTTTTCGGGTGATTTTGTTGATTACGTTATTATGTTGAGGATTATGTTGTCAACATGTTTTTCGGGTGATTTTGTTGATTACGTTATTATGTTGAGGATTATGTTGTTAACATGTTTTTCAGGTGATTTTGTTGATTACGTTATTATGTTGAGGATTATGTTGTTAACATGTTTTTCGGGTGATTTTGTTGATTACGTTATTATGTTGAGGATTATGTTGTTATTATGTTTTTCGGGTGATTTTGTTGATTACGTTATTATGTTGAGGATTATGTTGTTAACATGTTTTTCGGGTGATTTTGTTGATTACGTTATTATGTTGAGGATTATGTTGTTAACATGTTTGTTTGGAGCTTTTGTTGTGAACTTTATTCTGTTAAGGTAAGTGTGATGAACATGTTTGATGGGGGCTTGTATTGTGAACGTTGTTTTATTAAAGTCTATGTAGTTAACATGCTTGTTGGGGGGGGGGGGGGGTACTTTTGTTTTGAACGTTATTATGTTATTCTGTTAAGGTTTTTTCAGTCCTATTGCTGGGTTGTGAACGTTATTCTGTTAATTTTTTATAAGGTTTATGTAGTTAACATTATTTTTTTTTTTTTTTTTTTTTTTTTTTGTGAACGTTATTCTGTTAGGGTTAACGTGGTTAACATGTTTAACGGTGTTTTTTTTTTTTTTTTTTTTTTTTTTGGTGTTGTGAATGTTAGTCTGTTTATGTTTATTTAGTTAACAAGTTTGTTTGGGGCTTTCGTTGCGAACCTTATTCAGTTAAGGTTTATGTAATTAAAATGTTTGTTAGAGGCTTTTGTAGTGATACTACGTCGTTGTTTTTTTGTTAATTACGGGTGCATCGTCATGTGCATTCCTTGCCATTTCGGGGCCTTCAATAGCTGACGATACGGTATCGGTTTTTGTCATAGGTGAAAGCCGTACGGTGACCTATAGATGTTAATTTCTATTTCATTTGATCTCTGGTAGAGAATTGTCTCAATTATTCAACATCTTCTTATTCTTATATTCTGATTGCTGGTTTCTACTTTAGAATTATGTTTCAGTAATCCCATTGTGTTCTTTGACGTACGAATAAAATACATCAACATCATCAAATAAGAAGATCTTATGATTGCCAATGAGACGACTCTCTAGTCCAAATACTTGGGATGTATATAAAGCTACAAATAAGATCTGAATGTGTTGTCTGTAAAATTGTCCGAACATGAGTTTTCTACTTAACACCCGCTATTTAGTTTCTGTACATGTGTCTTTTACAGAAACAAAAAGAATGTCATCAAAGATGTACAGGTGAGTAGCTGCATTTTTTTCTTTTTAATATATCGAATACAAATAGATTAGTTTTTTTTTCTCAATCTGTGTTCAATTGGTGGTAATTTTGGGACAATATCAACGCCTGTTTTCAAAATATGTACAGTGTGTCAAAAACTACCTCATTTGTACTTTTGAACAGTTGATAACATAACATTTCAATGTTTATTTTAGGTCTAGACACTACAGAATTGAAAACAATTCCAAGCAACAAGCATCTTGTTAGATTAGCTTCCAAGTTTGGAATTACTTTATTTGGTGAATTCATCATTCACATGGGATTGGAAACACAGGAATATTGCAATATACAACACCAGTATGAAGCTAATGGAGTACATAGTGTTATGTTCATGGCATTGGTAAAATGTATGAAAGACATTGAAGCTAAACTGAAACGCCCATCGTTGAAACCCATTAGAGATGCTCTGATAGCAGTTAACTTGAACCATCATTTCCTATGCCAGGTAATGTGTTGTATAAAAAAATCAGCACCTCGCTGATTATATATGAGGTTTAATGTATCATGTATTCGTTGACTTACAAAATATATATTTATCATGTGTAGTGACATTTTTGACAATACTAAAACAATTGAGAAAAAAACAACTTGTTAACGTCAACTTTATTTTATCACATATAAAAAATGAGATCAATGGCCTTAGTGTCAATGAAACCTAACCGAATTCAACGATTTAATGAGCTAAATTAAAATATACATATTATGTGTTTCATACAGAGTTTAACATTCACGGGCCTACATTCTGTCGATATCTCTTGGTTGGTATTGCGCAATATCATGGTTAATGTGAGTTTTAATGAAATTTAAACAATAAATCCAATGGATGTTGGATGCGTATTGATTTAAATTAAAGTCAAAGCAAAAGAATGTTGTATATGTTCTTGTTTGCTTAGAACTAGCTGTTAGTAACTGAGAGTTCTCTTATGAATATGAAGTGTTTTAATACGTAATACATTTATATGTCATTTTTATAACTCAGCTGACATGTTTTATATGGTATCAACATTTGTTTGTAGATATTCAGGGAAGACACTAGCCTGAATGGTATGTTTTGTTTTTTTTTTTTGTAGTAGGATATTTTTGTTTGATCAATATTTTAGATTGTACATGCCTGTTTCTAGAATAACCTTTATTTGAACGTGAATGTTATATTTTTAACGTATCAGAATGCCAGTCAGGAAAAAAATTTGTTCCAGTATGTGCACAGCACAATGATCAAAAAAGTACTACTTAAAAGAGAGGCGAAAGATACCAAAGCGACATTCAAACCCATAAGTCGAAAATACACTGACAACGCCAAGGCTAAAAAATAAAAAGACCAACAGACAAACAATAGTACAAAAAAACACAACATAGAAACATTAAAGACTGGACAACACGAACCCCACCAAAAACTGGTAATGATATCAGATGCTCCATAAGGGTAAGCAGATCCTGCTCCACATATGTCACCCGTCGTGTTGCTCATGTTAGTACAAACCCAGTAATAATTCTAATTCGGTAGGTCATATTCGGGAAAGGGGGACGGGATTGAAGTTACGACATTAGGAACATAGTCGCTATCATCTGTAAATTCCTCATAAAGGCAACAGTAGTATACCGCTTTTCAAAAGTCATAAATCGATTGAGAGAAAACAAATCCGCGTTACAAACTAGAACCGAAGGAAACACATCAACTATAAGAGGGAAACAACGAAACAACATAAACACCGAAGTGCAACAAAATACAAACGCCAACAAACATAGAAACGGACTACTTGATAACAATTGTCATATTCCTGACTTGGTACAGGACATTTTAAGAAGAATGGTGGGTTGAACCTGGTTTTATGGCTAGCCATACTTCCCGCTTATATGGCAATATTAAAAAAATCGCTAAAATGACAATGCTACTAATTTTTACCAGTGAAAATCACTGATGCTCCAATAAAGACACTATTTCCAGATGAAAAGTTATTTCATTCGTGTTGCTCAAAACAATGTTTAGTTATTCAAATTCATGAGGAAAAACCATTAAGAAAATAGTTATTACGACTAATGTACAATGTAATGTTGATATCGGTGTGATCAACAAAATTATGACTGCATCTATAGAACTTACAACAAGTTGACTTTGACCTTATCATACATACATTTACAAAACAAGCCTTTTCTTCAGGTCTACTGAATTTAACTGCCAATTACCCACTTCACACTATGAATGAAGGATATTCAATGATGTAAATATTTAACTTGTTTGGTAAAATTTTCATTATTTTCGGTTTTACTAAACTTGTTCGTAAGCTTAATAAGCTAAACATTTTCTTTTAGCGTTTTGTTTGATAGTTGCTGTTTTTAAATATTCAGTAATAACAAGATATAGCTTTTTATCAGAAAGTGATTGTCTAAATTTGCAATAATGCGTTTACAGATATCTGTTTGTATGTTAAAATTAATGAAAATCACAAAGGTAAATGAACAATAACTTATCAAGGGAAAAGCATTGGTTTAATTATTACTTTAGATGTGTCTGAAAGCCGTCTGCAAAGCACTGTTGATGATGATGTTTTAACAGAGCTACCAAAACATATTGGCAATTGTGTTTTACACCTCGGAATAGAATTGGGACTTACTGTAGAAGATATAGAGGCAACCATGTACAATTACCCAAAAGATATGTACAGCCAAATTGCATCTGTACTACGCATATGGAAAACCTCAAGTCAGACTCCAACAGTTTTTGCTCTTATGAAGGCACTGCAGCATGTAAAATCAGGTGGACTGACTTATCTATGTCAAAGGTACAACGTTTGTACTGAGGACTGAGTCATGTCCTGACTCATTGGAGTGACAAAGCACTTTAGTCTGTATGTCATGTGTTTGTCATGTTTGTAATACTAATATGAAAAATAATACATAATATAATCTTTTTTTTTTATTTAATTAAGCTTATATTTTCATCATTGAACAATCTGCGCTTGTAACTTCCCTTTAGTTAGTTTTTGGCCATCTAGCTCCTCGAATGTTAAAGTATTTATGCATCAGTATCTTTTAAATGTTATGGGATATTGACTGTTCAGGATAGGAGTTAATAAAAAAAAAGCTTCGATCGCATCAAAATTTTTAAATATTATTTTCATTTTGTAGAATTTTGCTAGACGCCTAACTTATATATTATATATTATCTTTCATTGTACATGCTTTATAGATAGTTGTTACTTTCTTTCAAAGATAAGAATCCTTTTCTGAATGATAACTCATATGCATCCACAACATGAACTATAAGTGATCAACACTGTGTCTACGAATGTTTCGTGAAGAAAAAGAGAACAAAAACAGATTTTGTTTGATATTTAAAAATAGTTCCTCTTGTTTACATTTGTACGGTTTGTCTATGAGCCTTTACACAATCTTGCCGTTCTTATACAACAGAAACGTATCGATGTCCGTGTCGAAATATAAAATAAACTTGTGTATTAATTTATTGTTATTGAACAAATGCAGACATGTACGAATAGATAATCATGATTGTTCTTGTTCAATTCTAATTTGTGTGGGTTTATTTGTATTTTTTGTTTTGCTTTCTGTGCCCATGAACTCAAAACATGTAATGTCATCCTCACTAAGATACGAAAACAACAAATAAAAACAAATAAAAACAAAACGTAAGATTGAAAAAAAGAAACGAAGAAACGAAGCTTAATTTGCTTTTTGAAATGAGCACAAATCAAACAATGAAGGAAGACAGAACAGTATCTTTAAAAAAAATAATATATTGGTCTTGTTATGTGGTTACCTATTGCTGTATACTGTAGATTGTCACCGAACAGCTATATACATATTTTTTTCTCATTTGTTCGCACTGATATCAAAAAAGAAGATGTGGTGTGATCGCCAATGAGACAACTCTATTGATATGCTTATTTCCTTATATGTAAAACAAGTACTTTTCATTCATTGCATCACAATACATTTGCTTATTTGGTTGCATTACTTATTTAATGCGATTTATTTTATTGATGTCCAGTGTTTTTTTTTTTTTTTTTTTTTTTTTATAGAAGATTATACTTTGTTGTTTTATTAGTTTCATAATGTTTTGCTTTTGCTTAGGCTTATTTATACTATTTCTTAAAATAAAAGATTGCATACAATCATACGATGCTGTGTTTTATTACTTTTTGTTTAATGGGGCTTTTTTACCAATCAGACAACCTCACGTATGGTTGATGTGTGGATTTATCTGATAAAAGCTAGAGTTTCCAGCTTTTTTTTCAACTAAAAATTATAAGATGTAAAAAAAAAAATATTCGGAAACTCAGGAAAAAAGACGAAACAATATTTTATGAGATACATCTAACAAGAAAGATATTGAACAATTGATAACAAATAGAACGGTTAAAATCATCCTTAACAATTTTACAAACACTTCATTGATCTCTGACTATAATTGAATATTTGTGTCACGGGTAATCATGGATAGCTGGAATTTGCTCCTGTTTCCCCTTTTGAACTTATTTCCACATTTGCCTTAGCATACGAATTTTACCACGTGTGCAATGATACTCTTCCGAATCATCTGAGATCACTACCCTTTTTTTGTTGTTTGGGCCAATTCGTTGAATTTCTGTGCTGTTTTTAATTTTAATTTCTTTTTTGTTATTTTTTTTTTCAATTCGATAGGACAATTTTACGTGCATGTCTACTATAAAGAAAATTTTTATAACAAAAATACCAAACTCTAAGGAAAATGCATAACGAAAGGTTATCTTATCGAATGTCAACGTAAAAAGCTCAAACACATCAAACGATTGGAAAACAACAATTATATTCCTGACTTGGTACACGCATTGCCTTATGTCGAAAATGGCGGATTACACCAGGTTTTATAGCTAGCCAAACCTCTCATTTATATGACATTCGCATAGACTTCCAATATATTGACAACAATGTGTGAAAAAAAAAGAAAATCGATCGAAAGTAAACATGGTTAATTGATCATTAATAAAGACTACCTGATATAATCATGCTAATAAATTCACAACAAATTGAACCAAACTTAACATTAAAGTATTTTATTCGTCTCTTAAATTCTATTTTTTTCTTCCCAATGTTCATATGTATCCAAATCTTAAGGACTGGTGAGCAGCAGACTACTTTTTCATACAGCGCTATCTGTGAATAGAATACAAAGTTGATAAATTTGTTGCGTCTGGTACTTTTGTATGGATTGTTCTTCGTCGTGAACACCTAAAATATAACACACAATTGAAAGCCAATGGTGTATAGATACTTGAATTCTTAAAGACATGCATGAGATAATGAGACCTACACTCAATCGTCAAATCCACCAAAGATAAATAATATGTAACAGTAGTTTACCGATGTCTACATCTAATGCCTCTATACAGATAATTTAAGGATGAAACAAAACATGAAGGAATCGGACGGGTACGCATCTTCTGTTAT